TGTAACCACTAGGAAGGCTGACAAATCTCAGATCTTTAGGAACAAGACAGGCCTCTTCTGCTTCAGATAGATTTCATACTGTACTTCCTGGCAGTCAGAACTTGAATCCTAGTGCCAAGAAGTCTGATTTATAGGGATTGGATTGTTTGTTACTTGTGGATTTTATCCTTAGCTGTTACTGTGTTCATCATCTCTTATAGGTGTACTGATGTGGGAAGTCTTCAGTGAAGGAAAAATCCCATATGAAAACAGAAGCAACTCTGAGGTAGTGGAAGACATCAGTTCTGGATTTCGGTTATACAAGCCCCGACTGGCCTCCACAAATATCTACCAGATCATGAATCATTGCTGGAAAGAGGTGAGTGGAGGAAGTTGTTTTCCTCTGTGTTAGAATCTACAATTTCAGGGCCCCTTTCCTTAGGAAATGAACTCTGTTAGGCATCAGGGATGATGAAAGTGGATTAGTAGGAAAGTGATTTTGAGGGTCGATTAACTAGGGAGATCCACCATTCCTAACAGCTAGCAGTGACCTTGAAAATCATTTGATTTGCTACAGAAGATCATAAACTGTAAGCACAATCTTGGAGAGTGGGTGCGATGAGACGTGCACCATTTCTCTCCCTAATTCTCTGAGAAGAGGAGAAAATACCAGTTATATCACAAAACCATTAAAAAGTATACTGAATTACTTCTATAAACTGGGGAACAAGCTCACTCATGCAGTGAAGATATTAAAATGGCTTTATAGTTCAGTTTATTCGTTCAAGAAATATTTATTGAGAGCATTGTATATGTCATACTCTGTTCTCTATGCTGGCGACTCAGAATGGAGTGCTGATTACACAGTAGGCCCCAGATGACTCAGTTATCCCCTGCCTGGGTGGCAAGCTGCACCTTGAGCTACATCAGCATGAGTCTTAGTTGTCCTTCAGTGACTGTTAGAAAAATGTAAATTTCAGCCCATGTTGAAAGTTGCTGAAATAGTTAACACAAATGCAGATCACTGAAGGTCAATAAGGTAGAATAGGAAACTTGAGTTTTATCTCAGCTTTGCACTTCCTTAGGCATTCATCTTGCGTAATTCTCTGAAGTCCCTTTTTCTTAACAGGAAAAAGAGAATTTAATAACACTTGTGTAAGTTCAACGATTATGCAAATTCAACAATTGTGAGGTTGGCGCATGATTGGGCAGTGTTTCGTTCTGTTGTGCATAAGGTCGCTGTGAGTCAGTACCAAATTGTCAGCACCTAACAACAAGTTCATAGGGTGTTTACAATCAGGAATAAGGAGAAACAGCACAATAAAGATATAAACAAAAATGAAAAACGAATATTGCCTGCCTTATATGGATTAAGTGCTATAATACTGATGATGAAGTTTTTGTTGCAAGCTATTGAGCTGGTTCTAACTTATGGTTGTTGGTGGTTATGTGCTGTGGAGTCCGTTCCAACTCTTAGCGTACCTGTACAGGGTTTCCGAGGCTGTAAATCTTTACAGGAGCAGAAAGTCTCATCTTTCTCCTGCGGAACAGCTGGTAGTTTTGAACTGCTGACCTTGTGGTTCGCAGCCCAACTTATAGAGACCCTATATATAGGGTTTCCAAGGAGCAGTTGGTGGGTTTGAACCACCAACCTTG